CGCGCGCGCACGCCCACGCGCAGAAGTACGTGTGCACAAGCCTTCCCTCCCTCAGGCCGTGACTCAAGAACCAGATAAGCTGACCGACGCACCCCCTGTGCAGGTGGGGCGTCATCCAGGGGCTCCAGACGCCCGGCCCAAACTGGGGCACCCTGGCGCTCGCCGCCATGGACCACATCCATGCCGTCACACCAGACGACTCCCTTTTTCTGATCTCGGGCACCGACCAGACTAAGTACGGCCTGAACTGGGGCAACGGTTTCGTGACCGACCCGACTATAATCCGCGACTACGGTTTGGGCGACCCGAACCCGTTTTTCAGGCAGCTCGTGGCGCGGCAGTACGCGTCCCACGTGGCCGTGTCGCCGCACGCGTACCCGCCGTCCATCACGGGGGCCACCTATTTGGGGAAGCAGCTGTGGGGCCAGCTGGACAACTCGGTGGGGTACCTCCAGGTCAGAGGGTACTGCACTTCAGACGCAGACAGCGCCGTCCGCACGGCAGCCTTTGGCGCCGGCAGCGGGGGCGGCGAGGCTGAGGGGAGCGGCGGCGCGGGCGCGGGGGGTGCACGGGCGACAAACAGCACTGTGGCGGCGGGAGTGGCTGCTGCTGCTGTGGAGGGTGCGATCGGGGCTGGCGCCGCAGAGAAGCCCACACCGGACGCGCGCACCGGCTTGACGAGCTCGAGCGCCGCCATCGGCGCCGCCGCCGCCGCACCACCCGCGGCCCCCGAGGCCGCGCGGTCGGCGGCGCCGGCCGCAGCCGCCGCTTCCGCGGCGCCTGACGCTGGCGCCGCTGCTTCGAGCGCGGGCGGCCCCACGTTGGTGGGCGCCAGCAGCCAACCTTCCACCTCGCCCCAGGCAGGAGCCAACCACCAGTCCGGTGATGCGCCTGCCCTCCAGGCCGCAGCCTCAGCCTCAGCCTCGGCCGCCGACGCCACGCCGGCAACCCCGACGGCCGCCCCCGCGCCCGCCGCCGTGCTGCTCGCAGCCGGCGGCGGCTCCGCCGCCGAGGTGGCCCCAGCGCCGGCAGCGGCGCCGCCGGCGGCAGCTGCAGCGGCCCCCGGACTGGCGCATACGCGAGCTCTCAGGGCTGCTGACTCCTGCCACCGGTTCCCGATCATTATCAGCGAGTTTGGGAGCTTCTTTGAGCAGGCGAACGACGTGCAGTGGCTGCACGACTTTGCGGGCTGGCGGCAGCAGCAGATTAAGGCCGCCAAGGCGCCTGTCGGCTGGGGCTACTGGGCGGGTGAGTGCGGGGCCCGGGCGCGGGAACGCGAGGGCAGGGCAAGGGGCGCTGCGTGCCGGACGGGGTGTGCGAGGGGGTAGCAGCGGGTGCAACGACGCGGCTGGCAGCGCAGCCGGCGGCGGCCTGGGCTCGCAGGCCTCTCCACTCTGACAACCCAACTTCTTATTGTCATCAGCCGCCGCCTGCCTCTTGGCAGCATCGATCAAAACTGATAGATAGATAAGTTACTCATACCATAGCATCACTGCCATCGGCCTCGCGCTCATCAGAGCGGACCTCCTCATTCCTAACCTTCCAACAAAACTGACTCGGCAAGTCTCATGACCAAATATCACTCCACGTCTGCGCAATGTTTGTGATCTTGACCGACGCAGTCAACGCAAACAGCGGCGACACCGGCGGGATCATGAGCCCGAGCTGGCAGACGGTCATGTGGGTCAAAATCAGGTTTCTGGCTGACAAGATGGGCCTCGTCCCATGGTACATGTCATGATGACATCATCAGACCGGCAAGGGCTCAGACGCTGCTTCGGGGTGCTGGTTTGGTTGTAATGATTGGTCTTCAAGCGTAAGCCTCAATCGTACCAAGCCCCATGCAGATATGCGTTATGCTGCGCGCCACTAAACAAGGCGGATGCTGCGGTGTGCATGGAGTAGACCGGGCAGACTACCAGCCAAAGGGCGTGCAGGGGAAGTTTGAATGCATGCAGATGAATGAGGGTGGCAGGAGTGGGCGGACAGCGCACGTGCGGGGCCAGGCGGCGGCCACCTGCCAGCTGGCAACTGTCATGGTTCCCGCTTTCTTTGACACATCTTCCAGACAGTGCGGTCCCTGGGATTGGCTGCTCAAGAGCACCATGATTGAGGGTGAGGGTTGTAGGCAGTCAGCGCATGCTGGGCGGGCAAGGGGACGGGAGTGCGTGATCGCGGCTTGTGGGCCGGCGGCCAGCACGAGCGGCGGTGTGGGGGGTGCTACTGCTGAGGGTGAGCCTTGTTCACCCCCGCCCTTGTACCATACCGTCAATAGTACGATCCAAGAACGCTCCATGCGTTCAAGCGTTCAAGCGTTCAAGCTTTTGAAGCGAGAAGTGCCACTCGACTGTTAGACGAGTGCCACCGAGGCCAGCGGCAGCCCGGTTTGTGCATCTAAAATAAGGTGAGTCTCTGTTGAGGTGGCGCTTGTGGTCTACTAGGCAGGCAAGATCGCGATCCTGGTGTGTCAGCACAGCACAGACGCCCGAAGCAGGATGCGCAGAGCTTTTCGCTTGTGGTATCCACGCTGACGCGCTCAGTCGTACCGCCGTGCTGCCCCTGCGGCATGCACAAGTTTTCATGCGGTGCCGCGCATCGCGAGTGCGGTCAGTGTGTGTAGCTCCCGTCCAGTACGCGTCAGCCGCGTCGCGCAGGCAGTTGCTTGACAAGGATGCACTTGAAACGGCCAATGTGCCTTCGGTGCCTTATGCCTGCAATCGCAGCCTTCAGCATGCGCCGCCTGTGTGTGTGGTGTACAATTCAAACGCGTTTGAACGAAAGCATTACCCCGGCCCTGTCCCGCAACCCCTCTCCTCTCCCCCATTTCTCGCCCGCTCTCCAGCCCCACCACGCAGGTAGGCAGGAGGCCGCTCCCCGCGACAAGGCTCGTCCACACCCCCAGCAACCCGCCGCCGGGGCACACCCACCAGTCACCCCGCAGCGGCAGCGGCATCGGCCCCCAGGCCCCCCCGGCCGGCGGCCCCCCAAAATGGCGGTCGACGGGACGGCCCTCGCGACGTCGCTGGGCATCAACGGCGGATTCTGCGCCCTGTTCATACTCATATTCGCCGTCCTCCGAGTGCGGCCTGTTACCCGCCGCTTCTATGCGCCAAAGCGGTGGGCGTCATGGCTGGCCGCTGCGGGGAGCCGGCAGCGCCGCGGCCGGGGACGCCCCGGGGCAGCGGGGCGGGCGGCGGCAGGGGCGGCCGCCGGCGGCGCGTCCGTGGCGGGCGGACGCGCCGCGTCGCGGTCGGCTTGCTGCCTATCCCCTGCGGTCCCAAGCATGCCCCTCCGTGTGCCCTCCGTGCCTCCCCCTCCCCGCACCTTCCTCACCGCACCTCCCTCACCTGCCCTTGCTTGCGCGCATCACGAATCACCTGACCCCCATGGGCC